TCACTCACTCGAATTGACTGCCGTGTTGGTCGGTGGTCGAAACCCCAGTCTGAAAGATCGATTTTCTCCTGCTATCGTCCAACCCGTGTTAGGAATCGCACGTTAAAAGGTGAGACCTCGTTAATCCTTAGCTCGCACAAGTTTCGGCATCCGTAGGGGTGCGACAGCTGGTTAACGAAAAAACAGATTTTAAACAAATTTTCTTAATACTGGTAGCGCCATTTGTTTGTTAGCCTAGGGACTTTTCAGCCCACGTAACAGTTACACTTTTATTATACGTATTGGTTATTCTACGCCATAGAAAAAGGGAGCTGCATCATTTAATTACTTTTCATTATAATATGAAAATACCACATCACACTAGTTGGAATGAATCAGAATTGTACGATTACAATGGAAATTTAGCTTATGTACTCTTCAAAAAGGGGAATCGGGCAATTTTTTGCCAATGAAATTTCGAGGGTACATAATCCTGGGCTTTTACTATCATCTAACAAAGTTTTTTGCGTCAGCATCGACTGTGTTATATGACACAGACCAAAAGCTTTTCGACCTTTCAGTCTCAACTATCAAAACGTGAACGACCAGCTCAAAGAAATGAGATCTAATTAGGTAGCTGACATGGTATTAGTAGAAAAGTAGGACAGATGCACTGTCTGCTCAACAGGCTGTTGAAAGAAACCTAAGGAAAATATTGTCAAGATAACTACTATAAAAAAATATTTCGGAATAAGATCTCACAATATCAGCTCTAGAGGAAGTCATTATGAGCGAGAGCACAATAGAGTACCAAAGATGTTAACAGACATCAAAAATCTACTGATTACTTAGTTTTGGTGTAAATTCATTTGCTATTCTTAAATATGACAATTATTTTTATTCCGCTGAAATTATTGACAAGGAGAATAATGGTGAATGCTGCTGTGCAATGCAAAAAAGTGGGTGTGGTGTGAAAGAAGATATCATTCTGAAAATGTTTTCAAAGTGAATATGGAAAGTAAGTATGGAATATTATTATATTTATTTCTGCACATCGCCTATGATCTTCAATAAAATAGGTATTCAGTAAATATTATATAGGTACCTACCTACCTATGGTTCAGTCTTTGAACACTCAATGGCCACAGCCGGATATCTTCCTGGCCAGAACTGGTGAAAAGGTGGCAAAAACTGGCGAAATCGTATTCAAGTAGAATTTCATTTAATCTATCTCTTTTTAAAACGGATACTATATTATTATGCCCATCTTTCAAAATCAGTAATAGTTGATACCAAACTCTTAAAGTGGCTACAAATGGTGCATCTGCCCTATTTGTTATACAGTAGGCTTTTGTAAAATCTTGTAAACTGGGAGAGATGAATACTTTGAGCCCTCCTCGATACGTTCATCACACTTTTTGATTTCTGTTCATCTCCACAAACTGTAAGCTGCCTGCTCAGATTTCCTTCAAGACGACGATTATCCAGTGTTACACAACTATCGATCTTCTACTCCGTTACAGCAACGTTAACACGACTGACACCTTTGAATTCATAAACGTTTAATAAGTTCAGTGTTTGCCCTTTCATTTATCGCTTTAGGGAGAATCATCCCCCGGATAAGCGAGGGCAACGCTCTGTTTCCATATGATTTTTCAACTCATTAGCGGTTAAGGGGAGTGCCTCAGGAATGGCATTTTCGCAATTTGATGTCTAACGATTGCTATGATGTGGACACATGAGAAATATCACTGAGTGAATGAAGAAATGAAATTTAGTGTGATAAGCTTGACAAGAGTAGGAGTGAGAGTGTTCAACTAGTTTACGGGTTGATTTAGATATATGGCTTATGAAATGCTTTAGCCCACCAATTCTGTAACATTCTCCTCGATCTACGGTTCACCAAGTAGGTTGGCATCATCAGGTCTTAATCTACATCGATCATCACTCACTTATATGCACTCCATAAAATCAAAGCTCTTGTCTGTAGTCTGTTGTTTTATCTTACAATAGCGGTTCGAATTTAGTGCCTTTCACTAAGCAGACAGTTTTTGTAATGCGGATGAACATAAATTACAGAGAAAACTTCGAGATACTTCGAGAGAAATGACTACGAAAGTGGTGATTAGGTTGCTAATGTATGATATTTATTCAATAAATTAATGAATGTAGCTGTTACTTCGTGGTAGGAGATCATCATGAAAAATGAGAAATAAAAGTTTTTATGTTTTTTACCACTTTTATTTGTAACTAAGGTTGATGCAGTTTCGTCCTATGAGGACATTTTCAAACACTGAAAGTGTCATTTCTTGTTTTCTACAATATTTATCCAGAAAAACTGATTCCAAAGCTCACCATTCTATTAATTAACAAGTTCCTAAAAGGTGTAGCTTGGGGTGTATTGAAAAACGACAGAGGAAATGTGAATTGGTATATACCTTCTGTGGATATGAAAAAGAAGTGGATCTTCTGTGGTTAATATTGAAGATAATATTGACACCTGAAAAATACCAGCATTGATGGTACAGATAGCCGAGAGAAAACTATTGATGGTTACTTGTAATAACTGTATTAGATTAGAGAAAGCTGTTATGTGACATATTAAGCAAGAACGCCTTTTAATCTTCGATTTCTGAAACCATATTGACGATCGCTCAAGGTGTTGAAGCAATTGAGTTATTTGAGAATGTGGTGATCAACATCTTTCGCGTAATTTTTTGATATCACTGACAGTAAAGCTATCGATCTATAATAATTTGGGAAACTTTTCTAGCCCATTTTCTTTGTGTGATAAACTGAAACAGTTTCCTAGCAAGAAATAAATGCCCAGTCTCGGTGAAAGCCTACAAAACAACGTAGCACATTTGTTGGCGATGGAAGGTACTTCAGAAGGACCTGAAGCTTCATTGATATTGCGCTGTGGTACTTGACACTGTGGATTCTAAAGTGGAATTAACTGTGGAGAGGGATGAAAAATACTGACCCATCCCTATGGTAGCGTTTGAACTCTCTAATTAGAGCTGGAATTGTAGCTTTGGTAGGGCTGGAACATTTTCAAAGATGACCGCAATTTATTGAACCATATGCATCCATATGCATATATGCATCCATGCCTGCAACTTTAGTTACTTTAAGAAGAGCATGTTGATGATTTTGAAAGTCTTTTTATTCATTATATCCGTAGGGCTAAACTTTGCGTAGTTGGGGCAGCTTTTTAAAACTCATTTGTAACTCACATTAAACTGAAATGATTTTGTGAGGGGCCCATTACATTGAGCGTGTGAAGTTTAAGATTGGTTGTCAATTATAGACATAGAAAACTAGCACATTCTCAACTTCAGTTAGAAATCTTTGTTGCCTTATTTATGATATGAGAAAGTCACTACTTATTGCAAAAGCCTAGAGTTTGTACAAGTTGTTATTGTAAACATTAAAATTATCAAATTTGTGAATGAATATACCTCTTCAGGGAATGAAGACTTATGTGATTCCAGGGTTTATGATTTGCAAAAATGAGGCTGAAACTTCATTTGACCTTTTCAAAAACAACATATGAAATAGCAATCACAATGAAAGTGAACGTAATTCGAATTGTTTTTTTACTGAAACATCATTGTGAAACATGAACAGAAGTATCATTGATGATGTATTATTATATTAGGGCACAATACGTGAAAAAGGATTCAGTTTTGAATGAAACAATTATAAATTGCTAAACGAGTTGATTGATGATCAATAACTATAGTATAGTTCGTCTTCTCATCAATCGATAGTTTCGAAAATACAACATACTCATACATAACTCATACATACTCATACATAACTTCGTTATAACCTTTTTCTTGCTTCTTAACGAATTATAAATATTTCACACACTGTGTGAAATATTCGAGTCGTTTTTAACAGACTTTCATTTCTTAAACTCTTGGTCGGATTCTTTGGTTACTTCACTGTCGATAAAATGTAAAGAATCAAAGTTGAACTCTTTAAGATTTCCTTTATTGGTAATCTACATTAGATATTCCAGAGTTATTGAATCAAAATATGTAATACTGGTGTGCACAAGTTGAATTTCGCTCCTTTTCGGTGGAGCTAATGCGTGAAAAAAAGATATGATGGAACTACAAGAGTGTTAATTGTGATATTTTTAATTGCTCGTACGCAATTGAAAATAAATCTTCAATGGAATGAATTAAAACACTTTTGTCTAATTCTCACTAGTTATTTTATTTTTATGGTCTGTTTCGCATTCTATCCCATTATCAAGAAAAAAAACTGACTAATTCATTTGAAATCTAAAAACGTGACTATATAGGGAGTGTGTAGGTAAGCTAGACATTATGAAAATTACCGGGGTTTCCACTTTTGACTTCATAAGTTTAACAACTCCCGTAATTCTCCACTGTTAAATTTTTATAGCTGTTCATTCAATTACCTCCCCATTCAGTTTACCTACAAACTCCCTATATAACTCATTTTCAAATTCATAATGTATTAGATAGTTTTTTTACTCAATAATGAGATGAAACCCAAAACCGGTCGTGAAAATTGAATAACTAGTGGAAATTAGACAAGTGTTTTCGTGTGATGCACTATTTGGAACTTCTGGTGTAGTAATGAATATTACTGGAGTTTTTTCCCAACACCAAACCGTTATTTCAACACCTCGACACGTGTTTTGATCATCAAGTAATCATAAAAGTTAAAAAAAAAGATAAAAATATCTTTCTCAACCTGAAAGTAATTCAATCTTGCTGAAGAGTTTTACGTCGATATACTACGAGTACATACACTTTATGTACTATGTACACTGTACATGCACATACACTGCTTGGAAACAACATTGGAAGTATGCAGCTGCAACCTGTGAATCACAGAGACAAAAGTTCAATCCATTTTCAATTTGTTCTCTACCGCTTCACTAAATCGCTTCTCCCTTTTTTACGCTCAATCAGAAACAACTGCTATTAAAACATTTGAAATTGAAAACTAGTATCTAAAAGTAATAACTTGAGTGTTACCTTGTAACAAATAGGCCGGCCTAAGATGTGGATCTGGACCTTCAGGATATAGCGTTACACCCTCCCAGCTGCTGTTGTATGATCCCAAGGATTTCAAGAGGTCGATCGACTGGCTGAGAAATGAGATTGGACCTGCAGGAAATGTGGGATCGAATCCAGTCGCTGAAACAAAATTAACTTTTTGAAAAACCATTTGAAGACTTAAAATGTATTGGAAAATTTTATTTTGAAGATCCAGATGAAATGTAGATATAATGTAGTGAATACCTGTCGTTAGTTTCCGTGAGTTGGGCTATCTATAGGGCGCGCCCCTAGGTGGCGGATGGGGGTACGACCAGGGGACTGAGGGCCCTATCCGGGAACAACGAACAACAGACACAACAAAAATCAATCTCGAGGCTGGACAGATGTGCTCACCTCAATCTATGACGATGGCTGGGGATGAACAGAAATGTCCACAATAATAACCGCTCGGAATGAGGCTGGACATAGCAGATAACCTCGTGATGTAATACAAAAGCGGCGCATTTGCAACGCCGAGGCCAAAAGGAGATAGAGAGCGAGTAGGATTGGCAGCAACTGTAAGTGCTCCACTCCACCTTCAACAGCAAAGGCACTCCCTGCGGCGGGCGCCAAAATCTCCGCCTCGAATAAAGGCAAGGAACCGGCTGCCCATGCATTAAAGCGCCCTCATTTGAACACCTCCATTAGAGGAACCCCAGTAAGGTTGAGGAAGCTGCGCAATACGACAGTATTGTTGCTGTACCTTTCAAAACCTTCGCGGAGGTCACCATCAGATACCTCAAGGTTGCCAAAGAGAGTTCGACGAGTCTTGGCCTACACCTGCTGATATAAAGGAGATGTTTCCTACAGACCTATCCACCTTCCTGGAAAAGACAGGATAGACGATGACCTAGGAGGAAAACTCCTCGGGAGGATGTACAATGGGTCACATATGGTCTAAGTGCTGTGGGTATACACTCACCCTCCCTACTCTACAGATATCAGATTGATCAGATGGTCCTGTAATGGCTTTTCCTTTTTGAAGATAATAAATAACTTCATGACTATCCCAGCTGAAAAACAGTTTTCGCTTTTTTTGAAGCCGGTTTCCGCTTTGCAGTCTACTATTTGAACTGTATTTTTGTTTCGGGCGATTAATGGTGTATTCAAGTTTCATTTACAGTAATAAATCGGCGCCAAAACTCGCATTTATTGAACCTTAACTGCGCCAACAGAGTGTTGGAAATGTTCATTCGAACACGTTTATGATCTAACGTGAGCAAACGCGGCATCCAACGGGTGAACAGCTTTCTCATGCCTAAATGTTGATTTGATATATGACAAGCACGTTCTTTTGACATGTTCATAACCTCCTGCTATTTCTCTCACTTCAATTCGACGGTCGTCTAGAATCATTTGGTAAACTTTGGCGATGTTTTCGTCGGTAGTTGCAGTTTTTGGACGTACCGAACGTTTATCGTCTCCCTAGCTTTTACGGCCCCATTTAAATTCAGCTCCCCAACATTTGACTGTGATAAATGATGGTGCGAAGTCTCCATACATAGAATCCAACTAATATTTTATTCAAGTAGGCCTTTCAAAAAGAAATATTTAATGAGAGCTAGATAATCGATTTTGTCACTCAAACGACTGCTACATAACAACCGCGCGTCCAAAATAGCTGAAACTTTGGTGAGTAACGGTCAACATATGAAAAACGAAATTCCCTATCTTTAATATACGAGGGATGCTATCTTCATGTTGAGGTCGGAAACTTTGCAGACCCCCCTCGTAGATGTTGTCCACTGCGTGGTTCTCCAGAATTTGTCTCTACTACGATTCAGTTTTTGTTTCGCTTTTCTATCCTAGATGAATTCCAAACCATGGTCAGTCTCTGAAACGGTATAACTGAAATTAGAAAACTTTGGTGGAATATTCCATTCTTCAATTTATCACAGTGAGATCCTGATCCTTTCTGGAAAATCAGAAATTGGCGAACCAGGTAACACTTCTGGGAATTGTTTAAATTCAAAACTGAATCAAAACAATCATGTTTGTTGCACATGTAACGCGGTTCGATGACAACATGGGATGTTACTTATTTTTGCCCTCACGTAAGATTTTCGTTATTTGCCAGACGTTCTGACACGTTTAGTCTATGCCAACAGGAATATTAGCCATTCATCTCTATTGTTTATGAGAAATATTGGATATGAGCCAAACGGTTCATTGTTTATGGAATATGTACGGGTGGGAGTTTTTAGCTGAATTTAATCATGGTGTTTCGATTAATTCGGGATCAACACATGGGCTGAGAAGTCCCGGGCCTGAAAAAGAAAACGCGTTTTTGTTTTGTTCAAAGTTGGTTTCATTCATCAACATAATCTCCATCAAGAGCCACATAATAATTCAAGCGCCACTCTAACAAATTTTTATCTTCGCCATATGCTGTAGTTTCTTTGCAATTTTGCCCTTCAAACGCTCCAGTAAAGCTATTCAGTGTTCATGGTTTTTCCCTTCTCAAGATAGTCGATGAATATTACACTAAGCACATCCCAAAATACCGAGGCCATAAGCGATGGATCCATGTTTCATTCATTGTCACATATCGACTCAAAAATTCCGGTTTGTTATGTTTGAACATAGCCAAATACTGCTCAGAATCATCAAGACATTCTTGTTTTTGGTCAACAGTGAGCTCACGCGGCACCCACTTCGAACAGAGCTTTCTCATAGTCGAATGCTCATGCAATATAAAGCAAACACGTTCTTTTGATATCTTAACAATCTCAGCTAACTCAAGCATCTTTACGCTAACTTATTCAAAACGATTTTGTGAGTTTTCCTAATGTTTTCTGGTGTTACTTCCTCATCTGGACGTCCACTAATTTCGGCATCATCGGTGTCTCTACGATCACATTCAATTATCGTTTCTGACCGAGCAAAATCCTTATAACACTTTTCAAGCCGTTGCCTCGCTTGAACGGTATTTTTTTCCATCAAGAAACAGTGTACAATTGAATCACGAAATTGTTTTTGATCCATTGTTCTGAAAATAACAATAGTAGGTTCACTATTAGCACATTCTTCTGAAATATCATGCTTTCATCAGAAGCGGTGAATGCGCCATCTATCTGTTAGGCCCATTGTATTGACGAAATGAGGTATATTGCAAGTGCAATATTGCAAATGAAGCATATTATTCTGAAACAATATCAAATATACAGTCGAAAGCTGGTTGCACTTTTATTACCGCAACAATTTCGAAATCTTTAGCCATTTCATAACAACATACTTAACGAACGAAAATCGAATCAAAAGCACAGTATTCGATAACTAAATCAAAAGTGGATATTCAAATCATGAATATTCCAAATGACAACAAATATTACTGGAGTTTTTCCCAACACCAAACCATTATTTTAACACCTCGACACGTGTTTCGATCACCAAGTGATCATCTTCAAGAGGAAGATCAAACTGTTTGATCTTCCTATATCAAAGCTTCCAAACAGTGCATCACAAATAGATGACAGATAGGTTAGTTCCCGTCAATCGTTATTGATTCTGCACTTGGACTGACTTGGAGTACTACTCGAAAGATCGAGTTTGGTGCTCGAGTGTTTATTGGAAATTATAGGACAGAAAAGACTTCGATGGCGATAACAAAGTTCTTTGGGATTAGAGCCAAAGCCCTGCGACTTTTAGATTGGGATTTTTGGGAATGTCAACTCATACGTCTACTTTAAAAATGACGTCATATTTGTATGGAATTGAATTTTCAACATTTAGAAAACAATTCAATAATATCTTCAATATGGTGTTAGCCTAATGAATAATGATTATGAAAAAGTACGCTCACCAAAACTTGAACGATGACGCAACTGATAATAAAATCAGAATCGATCATAATAGGAGTAACATTTTTCGGTTGACTGGTTGAAGATGAATTAAAAATAATACTTTGCATTCTCACAGTAAGTTGTCGAAATATGAAGTTTTTCATTATTTTTTTTTTCAAATCGTGAAAGAAGAAAATCCCCAGAAAGATTAAAAAAAAAAGATTAATTTCCAGTATTGGCAATCAGGAAAGCCCTGATTGCTACTACGCCTTCTGGGCCATAATGGAGGCAGACGACTTGGTCATCTTGGTAAAGGACAGATATGATAATATATCGAGAAGACACATGGCACAAGCTGAAACACTATTGTCCGAAAACTAAGGCAGAATATAAGTTCATCCGAATCGACTAAAGTAGGATTCAAAAAAAGGGACTAGGACATGTCTCAGTCCAAGGTGAATAGGAGAATAAGGCAGAATATAAGTTCATACGAATCGACTGAAGTAGGATTCAAGAAAAGGGACTAGGACATGTCTCAGTCCAAGGTGAATAGGAGAAGGTTGAGTTTCCAGAGGAATCCAGATCTCAGACTGGACAAATAAAACGAATCCAAAACCGATGCTAGCCAGAAGCACCTACAAAAGAAATGGAGCTGAAACCAGACGTGATGTATTAGCTATTCTTGATGGTCATTGAAACAATATCATTGATTTGCTGTTTGAAAATAATAGAGGCAATGAATATCACATGATCAGAAGCATTCGAGATTCTTAAATATTATTCCTTTGAATCTTGAAATTACAGGAGAGGCAGGAACGAAATCATTTTTCAGACTGCAAAATGTATAGAACTACTAGCAATATAATGGAAACCACGAAAAGATGATGATGATGATGAATATTATTGGCAGAAGCAACTGGGATACAACATCCGCGTCTTTCAGGCAGAAGTGTGTGAAATCTTGCAATGCACAAGAAATATTAACGAAACGAAAGGTTCAGTGTTCCTACAATTAGATAGTATCCTGCCAGACACCAGTGATCAATTTTATTTGTTGGTCCTAAACCAGCTGTGAGGATACTGAAATCTATGGTACGGAACCAAACCAAATGGCTTAATGAGAAACATAGAAATACTTGATGAACACAATTTATTCTCAACTGTCTACAGGTACTGCAACAAGCAAAAAATGAATGTGATAAGCATCTAATAAACGACCTATATGAACGAGTGCATGTGTCAGGTTAGATAATTCCGCTTTCTGCTTCGATAAGTTTTTTGGGGGTTAAAATGAACACCAATATGTCTTGGCACAAT